TCAGCGAGATTAAAGACCTACATCTGGCAGACAATGAAACTATGGTGAGTTTTGATGTGCAGTCTCTATTCACATGCCTACCTGTTGAAGACTGCATCTCGATTGTTACTAGAAGGCTAGAGGAAAACAACATGCCCGTAGAATATGCAGTATTACTCAGACACTGCCTTACATCTGGCTACCTATTGTGGAAGGAGGAGTTCTACAAGCAAGTAGATGGAGTGGCGATGGGCTCACCTGTGTCTCCCATTGTCGCCGATATATTCATGGAGGACTTTGAGGAGAAAGCCCTGCTTACTTCTCCCATAAACCCAAGATTCTACAAGCGGTACGTAGACGACACTTTCACAATTCTACCTTTAGATAAAGTAACTGCATTTTTAGACCATCTTAACTCCTTAAATTCTAAAATTCAGTTCACAATGGAGTTAGAGGCAAACAATTCTTTAGCTTTTCTAGATGTATTAGTAATTCGGAATTCTGATAACACCTTGAGCCACACTGTGTATAGAAAAAAGACCCATACAGATAGATATTTAAACGGTGATTCTCACCACCATCCTTCACAGTTAGCTACCGTGGGTAAATCTTTGTTTCAGAGAGCACGAGGGATCTGTGACAGTAAACACCTGGCCGCCGAGCTCCAACACGTCAAGCAAGTTTTGCACGACAATAAGCTTCGGGTCCCGCGCCTACGTCACAGTGAACGAGTGAAGCCGGCCACAGTCGAGCGAGTGCCTGCTGTACTGCCATATGTCAGAGGTGTCACTGACAAGATTGGCTACATCTTGAAGCGTGCTTCCATTAAAACATATTTCAAGCCGCCGAAGAAGATTAGTCAGTTTTTACCATCAGTCAAGTGTAATATTCCTCTGCAAGATGCAGGAGTGTACAAGCTGGATTGTGAATGTGGTCTCTCTTATATAGGACAAACTAAAAGATCCATAAAAACCCGCATTAAAGAACACATAGCTGATGTGAAGAATAGACGCTCTGGGAAGTCTGCAGTCTGTGAATATGTACAGGATCGCCCCCGTCACTACATTAGATTTGATAGACCACAAATCCTCGCTAAAGAACACCGATTCCTTCCAAGGATGATTCGCGAGGCTATTGAAATCAAAAAACATCCTAATTTCAATAGAGAAGATGGCTGGGTGCTACCATCTGCTTGGGATCCCATAATTAATAAAATTAAATCCCAACCCAAGCATACAACTGCAAGACTTCATGATACTGTAAGTTCATACTGCGTAGATCGGAACAAAAATTAATAATTTTTAATCTGGAGGTAGCCGTGGTTAACTATGACATTGGGACGTCATACACCTCAGTCCCCCCCGTGACCATGGGTGCTGTAAAGTGCTTGAAACGTCGGGAATGTAAAATAAGTTAATATACGCGATAAAATCCGTAAAATTAGTTTCATTTAAATGTGTAGTGTTCGCGTAAATATAAGAAATCACTATGTCCACAGTTTGTAGCACCAAACGCTTGATGTCGCGCATAATTATAGTTAATAGGTAAGTTATGCATATATTTAACTAATTCTAACGGGGGCTTTAAATTACCAAAACTATCATAATATTTTACGTATTTATTGTGCTTTACAAAGGCTACCCAATGCGTTCCAGGATTTCTGTAGCTATCCAAATTCAGTATTCCACATTTTATCTTCCTCGGTTTCAAAGGTAAATTATTTCTCATGAAAACGCCGCGAAAGTATAGAATGTCACTTGCATGTTCTAATATGTCAAGATTAGTGAGGGCCCGTCTGGATAGCCGTTTAATTAGTTTTTTGAGGGGTTAAGATATAAACCTGCTCCTTGTTTATGAGCTTTAATATATAACACTTTTCCTAAAGCAACGGCTTCAATCATTCTGTTGTATCTATCAAATTCCTGAAGACTCTTTTGTGCTGCTTTTGAATCATTAACAGCTTTTGCTATACCCGCTGTTCCACCGGCTAATGATCCTAAAGCTGACAATCCTGCAAATATGGGAATAAGTGGTAAAAATCCTCCACACTTTGGAAGAGGAATACAACGGGGTAAACTTATTCCTTTTTTATTAGTAAATATTTTCTTTGCAGCTGCATAGGCATATTTTATAGCCACTCGGCTATAAAATATGTCTTTGGACTTTAGTTTTTTAAACAGAGACTGCATTCTTTTTATCCCCTTCTTAAATGCTTTTATACCGCTCCCCGCCCGGATATTCGCTTTCATCGCATTTTTGACTATCCATGAGGCAATTTTTTCTCCTTTCCTAGCATCTTCTGATTTCAACCTTCTCTTAGCCATTTTCAAAAGTTCTAAATCCGCTTTTTGTCGAGCACCCGAATCTTTGTTAGTGTAAGCAATATTATGGAGCATGCACGCTTCATCCAATTAGTTTATCCCACGATCGCCTTTGGGTAACCGTTTTTGAAGTTTAGTTCCGGGGCTACAATATTGATAGTCGGGTAAATGTAGCTCAAACGGTAAATTGTCTATTACTTTATTAAATATACCACTGCCTTCTTTCATCGATAAGTATAAAATGAGATTATTAAATAATAATACGTTATTTATATACCTAAACCACTAATTCACTTTTATCCACCCAACTATTTCCTTCATCACTCAAACCTAACCATTTTACTAAAAGCTTATTTCCTTTTCTTTTAATGACTTTTTCAATAAGATAAAGGTCTGGAAATTTAGTTTTTTGTAATTCGTAACCGTAAAAAGAGCCTAGAATTTTTTGATTGTGTTTGTCTTCTATTTGATAGGTGATTGGTTTGGTTGACTTTAACGATACGAAATATTTCTGTAGACCAATTATAGGTATAACCTTTGTAAAAATCTCCTTTGTATTTGCTTATACGAACGTAATCGCCAGCGTGAAACGCCGGTCCTTGACGTATCTTAGGCTTTTGAGACTTCTTGATGTTTGACATAACTAAAATCGCATTTGAATCATTAACGTTGATAGGCTTGAATTTCGTAATGCGATGTAAAGTATTATTATACCGCTTTACAACAAAATCTAAATTATTTTTGAACCATTTATATCGTCCGCATAGACTATTTTGTAAAGTTGAGTTTTTAAAGTTCTTATACTCGTTCTACAATGGAGGCCTTTGTAACGGAGTACGTGTAATAATGATTTATATTATAATTTTTCATTAAATTATTAAAAGAATCATTATAAAACTCTGTACCAAAATCTGTTTGTAAATTTTTAGGTTTTCGTCTTGATTCAGATAATATACTTTACATCGCATTTTTGACACAATTTTTATGTATCGTTTTCTATGGACTAACCCATACGTATTTTGATAGAGCATCGATTACTACTAGAACATATTTATATCCTTTATTAAACGTGGAATATTTTTGAAAATCAATCAGGTCAGCTTGCTATAAATCATCTATTCCTTTAATAATCGTATGTTGACGTTCTTGACATTTCTTCTTGCTGCTTTGTGAAGCTCATTGACTATATCTTGTTTACTCATTTTGGGCAGGTTTTGATGCAATCATGAGGTCGATTTCCTTTTTAGTGTAATACATTGTCCTGAAATTGATAGTAGTCAATTTTTCTAAATTTTTAAAGTACTTTTTGACATTATCGTGAATTGTTTTCATTTCATTTTTAAGTTTTTGAACACATTTATCCACATATTCTTTATTCACGGCTTCATCCTCTTTTTCAGGAGTTTGCAGTGCTTTTAATCTTGTTGATTTCAAATAAAAATCACCAGCGTCTGTTCTTACTAAAGCGTCACTGAGAATATCAGAGCATTCAGATATTCGTAAACGCTTATGAACATGATGACCAAATTTGTCTATATTCATAGCCGTCTTATCGGCTTCTGTAATGAAATGGTACTGCGTAATCCTCCTGTAGGCAGTTTAATATATTTAATGTCTTTTATGATACCAGATTCATGCAATTCTTCCACTATTACATAAATTTCATTGTAAACCCCTGTGTTACCAGCTACCCATGATCCAAGTAGTAATTTTAATCGTTCCACTAACTCGTTTGGATCGTTCCAGTAAACCAAATCAGTATCTTTTTTAACTTCTTTTAAAATATCAACTCCTTCTCCCTTTGGAAGACTATCTGCACTACTTTTATGATTTCTCGAGTGCTTAAACAATGGTTTGATCACTTGCATATATTTAAATCCTTTGTTACTGTTAATCGGTTTGGATGAATCATAATTACGTTTGTGCGCATTAGTATTCAAAAGTAACAATTTATAACTTTGTATGTCTTCCTCTGTCACAATATCCAATTTGGTAGCTTTTTAAACAATATCTCTTTTAAGCCTGGAGTTTTTTCAAACTATGATTTCCAATTTTTAAGATGTCATTATCATAGACACGAAATGGGCCGAGTATTAGTTTCCCACATTAGGAAGCGAGTGAGTAAGGGTTTTGTGGGATGTTGTATAAACATTGTTATCTGAGTTTTCTTCATTATTAACAGAATCTTCAAAAACATCACTTGAAGAAATCGATGACTCACTTGTGCTGTACTTAGGTTTTTTAATAATGTGAGCTTGGTCTGTATCTTCGTTTAAATGCTGCTTTTCTTCAGTTTTTCTGGTAAGCATATTAAGTGGATCAACGATGGGCTTAAATATTGTTTCCAAAGCCAGACTGTTTGTATTTTTTGCATCTTTTATCATTTCTACCTTTCTTTTAACAGCTACAGCAGATTTTACAATTTGTTTCTTGAGGTCTCGCTCCATTGTAAAGGAATTATACCATGTTTGACTACTCAGCAGAAAATGATTGCTTTGTGACATTTAAACATTAGTCTAAAATTATGTTATGTATTTATGTAATTATGTTGTGTATGTTAATTAGGTAATCAAACTTCATTCTGTAACAGCCTTTATTTCGCTCACAGTCTTTATTTATAACAATATAATTGAAAGGTTTACTCCACACAGTTGAACACATTTCCCGGAACTGAGACCATGTCATGTCAGATCCTACATGCTAGTAATAAATGTGTCTCAGATTTACGTCATCTTGTTTAAACAATATGATCAGGTTAGTGTTATCTCTAACTAGTTGCTTAGGTATCTTAGTATACGTTTGATTAATATAAAAACAGTCAATGTTCTTATGTCGACCCATGGCGAAATAATCGCGTATGTTGTTCTGATTTTCACAAGCTACATCGTCAAATATTATAATTGAGTTAGGCGAAGCTTCGTGTGGACTCAAAATTTCGCTATTATGATTATACTTGTAATAAGATATACCTTCCACATTCTGCATTACTTTTTCTAAAAATAAGTATTTAGGTTGATATAAAGACTTTGAATATACATAAAGGTTACGAAAACGCAGTCCGTTCTGATGTAACATTAAGCTGATAACTAAGTTAGTTTTTCCGCAATTTGATGGACGGCATACAATACTACGTATCGTATTTGGCAATAAGCTCCCATGAAGTTTAACCTTATTTTTTGGTGCAGGACAGATACATTCTAATTTAAGTGATTCTTTTTGTTTGAGAAATTTCATAACAGGTTTGTTAACTTGTCCGTATTGGCTAATAGCTTTTAATGAACTAACGTTATTTCAATCATGTTAATAATTTAAAAACTTGAAAAAGTTGCTGAAGATTAACTTAATGATCAGCTTAAGTTCAAAAGCATTTTTTATAGGATAGGGTGATAAACGAGCACTCAGTCCACCTGATGACAAGTGGTTGCTGTGGTCCATAGACATCTACACCTATCCTCGTTTGCAAATCAAAATGCAGATGCGTTGTCACCCTTGAGGATTAAGATGGAATGCCTCTTTTCCAGTAAAAAGGATCTCCGGTTCTCTACACTCATCATACGAAACACAGCAGCGTTAAGATGCTATTTTATGCTGGTAATCTGTGAGAGCATGGTCCTTCCCCGGTCGAGCCGACCCATTTGTGCTACAAATATACTACTAATATAGCTGCAGCATGGCTCTACCATGTAAAAGCATTCACTCACTCTTGCTTCGCTCAAGCTATGTGCCCACTGAAGACCATAATTCTCTCAAGTATAGGTCCAATTTTTTTTTTAGTCTAACCATATTAGTACCTACATGCTTGCAAGTTTCTAAATTAAATCAATTTATTTAACCAATGGTGGGTGATCGCAAATGATCTAGCAGTTTGTACTACGAGTGAGCTACAAAGCCTGATGGCTGTGGTTCGATTCCCATCCAGTATAAAAATTAGGGTATTTGAACACATGAAAACATTCGTATATACTGTTGGAGACCTTTTTTTCTTCTTTTTTTCCTATGTGTTACTAACGCGCGTTAGCCGTTCAGGCAATCTATTATGATTGAGCAACAAACATAAAAAAAACATCTAACATACACTTTTATGTTTATGTTATTAATTTTTTTATAGAATAAGGGTGACAAACGAGCACGCAGTTTACCTGATGGTAAGTGGTTGCTGTGGCCCATAGACATCTACATCTATCTTCGTAGCAAATCAAAATGCAGATGAGTTGTCACCCGTGAGGAATAAGATGGAATGCGTCTTTTCCAGTAAAATGGGTCTCCGGTTCTCTACACTCACCATACGAAACACAGCAGCATTAAGCTGCTATTTTACGCTGGTATTCTGTGAGAGCGTGGTCCTTCCCCGGTCGAGCCGACCTATTCGTTTTACAACTATACTATTAGTATAGCTGCAGCATGGTTCTGCCACGTACAAACATAATTAATAAGATAAGCATGTAGTTACTTTCATAGCGTAATATCTTATGGAATCTTACTATGGGATAATGCGACTGACATTGAAGTCATATTTGTTTGCAAAAGATAGGCATACGGATGATTTGTAACTTAAATTTTAAAGAGTCCCTTAGAGACCAATTTTAAGGAAATAAACATATTTACTTAGCATCGAAAAATATTTATGAAAATGTAATGTATGTACATAAAAACATAAATAGCTTTCATAAGAAAAAATTATGTTCATTTTTAAACACTAGGAACAAACATAAGCTTGTAATACCAGTTTTTAGACTTTATAGAATTAGTAATTAATTTATGGGTAGGCAATATATACACTTTTACAACAAACGCCTAGGTGTTATTCCAGACTATATTCTATCTAGAGATATTACTAATAGTATAAAATTCAGTTTAAGATTGAAAATTGTTAGGTTTTTTTTCTTCAAAACGCATTAATTTTAAACAAAGATATATTTATAATGGATCTAAATTTAATAAGTACATTGACCGCTATATGCTGATGATGATGTTGAGATGAATGATCATCATCACATAACACTTAGTCTCCCTAGTGAGTGTAGGAAGTGAGTCGGAATCTGAGGCTGATACATCATCATCACTCACCCCAGCTTCGACCAGCAGGAAACGTAAATTAAAAGTTTTTCCACATTCTGAGGTAAGCAAATCTTATTTAATTTTAATAGTTTGAGTTACCATTCACATGATGAAAATTCAGTTTCTATTTGATTGGATGTTGTGAATAAATTATCAGTCATAGGTTAATTTTTTTTATGAAAACGTACTCGTATTTAATTATATTCTTAGACGATCGATGTGATTGATACAATTGTTAGTGAATTGGACTCCTAAGTCATGTTATGAGCATCGTATAAAATATATTTATGCGGGGTAGGAGGGAATATAAATATTGTTCGTTGCTTTAAATAGTATTTTTATTGTTTCCAGAATGAAGATTTTGAACTTATCCGAACGAGGATTTTAAAAAGCTACTTATCATTCCGAACAGGTTCGGGATATATACACCGGAGTGAGCCTTCGAAGCGAGGAGAATATTATATCGAAGTGCGCATCTCTAACATCCGCGAACTGGAGGCTATTCCATCAACCGACCGCTGGCAGCACTCTCTGAACAGCTTTAAATCAGCTGTCGGTGAGAAATCCCCAACGTGGAAGGCTGTTACCCAGTTGGTATCATGCATCAAAGAAGATTATCACAACGTTCGTCCAGTTTTGTATCCAACTAAGGGTAAGTTTAATAGTTTAATAAGTGTTACTTATCTATGTGTTGTTAAAAAAAAAATTCAAAATTTTTGAAAAATTGCAAATTCAGATAAAATAGAAAATCGAAATAATTAGTTTTAATAAATACATTCGTTGTAACAATAAATGTCTTTTCTTTTTTCCTCTACACAATTGAATAATAATGATACATAATAAAAATAAGAATAAAACAACAATAAAATTCAATGTATAACTTTTATTATATTTTACAAGCTACATTACTTAAATTACTAGTTCTCACATTATTTTTCACCTATTTTTTTATAAGACAATTAGTAGCATCTAACACCTCATCGTACATTGAATCCACAACATATTGAACACTTATATTAGCACTAAGATCGTTGATGACATTTTCTTCTTGCTCGTTAAGTTCGCAAATGCTGATTTTAATCAGACGATGACCTCGTTTTACTTTATCTCGGCGGATAATGTATGATGATGATCATAATGATTCTTGAGAACGGTTTCTCTTCCTGTAATATTTCTTTGATTTCGATTGCCGCTCTTCATTAATAGCTATTCTATTTGGTGGTAAATCGTAAAGCTGCTCCTTTCGGTTGTAATAATTTAGTGTAAATTTATCCACATCATGTGCATAGTAATACGGATTAATGATAGGATTAGAATCATTGTGTTCCTCAGTGTTGACCATGATCTACAATTAACAAAAACAAGTATGAAGTCAAAAAAAAGGTAATGGCGGCTGAATTTCTTCTACTCGGTCGTATATTTTTCATTACATTTATTAAAAAAAAATATCGATCGCTTACTCGCGTCCCGCGAGACGTTGCCGAGGTAAGATCTGTACCAAATTTTTGCGCGAAACCCAAATTACCTATATTTATTTTTCGGCGCCGTGCCGGCGGCGTCTGCGTGTAAATACCTATTGGGCTTGGAACATCTGGCCTTAATCACACAAAATTTCGTCAAAATCGGTCCAGCCGTTTAAGAGGAGTTTAGTCATATACACACAGACAGAAAAATTATATAAATAAAGATTTTTATAATTCTAATAAAAATAGTTAGACTGTTGATGACGAAAAATTTAAATTTTTGATCGTAATTTATTAAAATGTATGTTTGATTGATTTGAATTGAATGCTAATGTTTGCATATAAATTTGAATATAACAAAAGCTAAATGTATAAAGAACAATGGCAGACTTTCATACATAAAATTAGTTGAGAGGGAATGGTAGCGTCTATATATCAATAATATCTTAAAATGTTAAGCGTCAGTCCCTTAATAACTCTGTTAAAGAATTTTGTCCTGAGAAGGCGTCAATAAAAAGATATTTAGATTTGAACCTATTTAGGTTGTCTTGTCACTTGGAAAAAGTCATGCGTCCTGTGGTGGTTTGATGTTAGCTTGATACATTCTCAACATAATGTACCTACCTACATAATTGAGAGTTTTTAGATTATTGTATCTCTATTATATATTATTTGCATACTATAAATATATATTTCTGGCATGGCTCCAGGACCTTAGTGTTTTACAGTGATATTCTCAGAAGGGCTAGAACCCAGAGCCGTAAAGCTAGTAAAAAAAACAGTGACATTTTGATTTAGCTTGTGTTGCCATAACATTAAATTGAATTTTTACAAAATTACTATGATTGAGATAATGTATTATTGTAGGAAGTTCTTTGTAAGAGACTTATTTTCAACCATATCATTTTATTTTTATTATTATTGATACTTTAGTTATTACTAATAATAACTTAATATAAAAATATTGAGTGTTTGTGTGTTGTGTTGCTAGTCTTACAAAGTTATACGAAAACAGTATGAATATAGTAAATGGCAACACTTGAATAGAGTAAAATGATTTAAGTCATTTGATATTCCCAAAAGTGCTGGTTTTTCCTGTGGCTTTAATTAAAATACATTTTTATTTGAAAAATCATAGGAAAATAATAAAACTCATTTTATACATAAATTTTTTCTAGACGCAATAATTTTTGTCAACTATTTTTCTGTCATTGTTCTTTTCCTTTGTAGATATTCAGTTTGGATAAAGAAATGTATTCACACTGAAATGTGATCATTAAATTAATGATAATTTATCGTCTAATAGAGATATATAATAAGTATAAAATTATTAAATATATATTTATAAACAATTCAATGCTTTATAACTCTATTTTTCTTTGTACCTATTTTAGTTATTTCTCAATCAATTTTATTTTATTTAAATTTGATAGGAATTGTTCGCGCCAAACGCTGTTGTCGGAATCGACGTCTAGGGGGCGCGCGGCTCGGTGCCATACCGGTTTGACAGTTGGATGTGTCGAGCGTGCACGAGTGCAAACCAGTCGTCTGTCAGCGGTGCTAACGTTAGCACACTGTCAATTTTGTTAGGGAACTCGGAATAATTAGGCACGGATAGTAAATATTCTGTCTAGGAATTGTGACGCGCATTCCTTGCTGGAGAGCTTCCCAGGGACTCATTGTGTCCGAATCAGAATCTGTATAAGTGCATTC